TAGTTGTCGTTGTCTGAACTTCTGTGCATTTTGTCGTAAGATTCGGTGTTTAGCGTTGATGGATCGAACTTGACGACAAAGTACAGAGATATTTGAATTTTAGCTGGCTTTTAACAGAAAACTCGATGAAAAACCAGCGAAAATTCGAATATCTGTGTACTTTGTCGCCGATTTCGATGCATTAACGCTAGGCATCGAATCTTACGACAAAATGCACAGAAATTCATTTTTTCTCCAAAACACACTTGATCTTCTGTCCACTAATCAAAATCGACAGCGCTCCAATGATCTGCGACACAAACGATGGTCCATTCTCATACGTCGTCATCTTTCCCAACTCTTCGAAGTTCTCCACCGAGCTCATCACATGTGCCAACGCGGTGAACAACTCGGTGAGCGCCGGCACCTTCGCCAGACGAATCCTCTCCTTGACCAACACGATTTTCGCAATCGCCGCCTTCGTCCGATGCACAAAGTCTTCTTTTGTGAACTGCGAATTGATGTGGGCGTCTCCATAGCTGTTATCCACGTGGCTCGCGAACTCTCTCAGAATCTCCCGTCCATGCTCTGAACACTTATCACAGTGTTTGCATGTCTTCGCGTATTTCAGCATTCGACACGGCGAGGCGCATAGACCAGTGAGTATGCGCACGTGAAATTGAAGGTCCAGAAGACGATAGACGTAGGTTCGATGGGTGGCCATTCGACGGAGCACTCGATACGTTCGGAAGTCCGGGTCGGCAGTGGATCGGAGGTAGGCGACGACGGCATCGACCACGTCGGCCCGGATTAGGAACTGCAGGTTGTGATCGTCTTGGGAGAGCCATGTCAGCAGCCAGAGCTCTCCTTCGATTATCTGCAAGTTTCATGATGACCGAGAAGTCCACCATGGAGGCCTAATTTTTTTGCAAGTTGGGTTTTCTAGGCCACCACTTCAAAATGACCTAGAAATGGCCTGATATTCATTTAGTGTGATTCCTAGACTATTTTGACGTGATGGCCGAACTTTTGCAAACTGAGTTTTCTAGGCCACCACCTCAAAATGGCCTAGGAAACACACTAGGTGAATATGAGATCAATTCTAGGCCATTTTGGGGTGGTGGCCTAGGGAACCCAACCCGCAAAAGTTAGGCCATCATGCTCAAAATGACGAAAAACGAGAAAACAATGTCAGCAATGCGACAATGCATTTTTCGAGCAAATGGTGGCCTAGAAATCCAAATCTAAGCCATCTACCGTAGTCCACACTTACACTCTTCTCCTGCCGTCTCTTCTTCTCGTCTTCGTTCTCCTTCTCCACCTTCTCCTCTCCATTATCCGATTCGACATCACTCAAATCGTCTAGAATTCCTTCACTGGGTCTGAAACACCAGTTTCTATTATACTAGTACAAAAAATCGGAGCTTTGGTCTCACAACGACAACTACCGTAACCTATATTTGTATTTCCCGTTGTTTTTTGAACATTTTTAATCGGAAAAAAAGCGATAAAAATAGGCACGAATCCAAATTTCGCGCTCTGGATACCGAAATTTTTAATTTCTGTGCATTTTGTCGTAAGATTCGGTGTTTAGCATTGATGCATCGAACTTGACGACAATGTACACAGAAATTTGAATTTTAGCTGGCTTTTAACAGGAAACTCGATGAAAAACCAGCGAAAATTCAAATATCTGTGTACTTTGTCGTCAGATTCGATGCAGCATCAAAGCTTACGACAAAATGCACAGAAATTCGAAATTTCGGTTTTTTTGAGCGCGAAATTTGGATTTCCGTCTATTTTTATCGCTTTTTTCGAGTAAAAATGTCCAAAAAACGGGAAATACAAATATAGGTTACGGTAGTTGGCATTGTCTGAACTTCTGTGCATTTTGTCGTGAAATATGGTGTAAAATATGGTGTCTAGCATTAATGCGTCGAAATTGACGACAAAGTACACAGAATATTTAAAAGATCCGGATTTCCGTCAATTTTTATCGCTCTTTGGATTTCAAAAAAAGTACAAATATGGAAAATAAAAATATTTCTAGGTTACGGTAGGTGTCGTAGTATACCTCCTGGGTTCCGGCGAAGACGGTGCACTCGACGCCACCGACGATGGGAAACTATAGCTGGGCGACGGTGCATTGTACTGTGGCGACATTGAAGCTCTCCTTGGCGACGTCTTCGGTGACGTCTGCGGTGTATCGTAGCTCCACATGGAATAGAAATCCTTATGCAACCTATTCTCCGCCGGCTCTTCCACATCCTGTCTCTCCCCTCCTGGCTCCGCCCCCTCGCCCCTTGCTCTCAAATTCTGCACAAACTCCAGGTCTACCGTAGGCTCACACTCGGCACGATTCTTTTCCACGTAGGCGTTCACATCTCGGACTACGGTATTCACAAAAATCAAGTTTTCACTCAAATGACGCATTCCGGCGTTATCGTGCACGAAATGTCGGAATGCTGCAACGGAGGCGAGCTTCTCCTCAATAGAATCTGAAGTTGAGAAGACGTCAACGACGACGTCGAGTGCTCCAGAAGTTCGAAGTTTCGCACGACCCCACGCTGTTTGGGAGAACGCGGCGAGCATTCGATGTTTTTCGGGAAGCCAGCAAGCGAGGAGTTGTTCGATGAACTTTTCGGTCTCCATTCTGAAAAAATGGGGTTGGGGTTGTCTGTTTCTCTGCGTCTCTTTTATTGTCGTCTGTCTGGGGATGTGTGGACTTTTAAAAGAGACTCGTAAACAACAAACACGAGGGGGGTTTCCCTGATCTTTTGATTTTTTGAAACGAATTTGAACTTGAAACTATCGCTTTTTGAAATTCAAATTTTTGTGACTTAGAAACCCAAATCTAGTAAGCAGATTTTTCGATTTTCATGGGGTTTTGGACCATTTTCCTTAATTTTTGGTTTTCCATTTGCGGTGTTTAGTCTTTTTTCAGAATGATTTTCAGGTAAAATTTTTATGGATTTTTTTCCCCAATTCTCATGAACTTAGGATTTTAAAAAATTTTAAAACAATTTTTCATAAATTTCGACCCATTTTTCATGATTTTTTGAACCATGTTCCAATTTTTTTTGGCTCATTTTTCATAGTTTTTGAAGCATTTTCCATAGATTTTCGAACCAATTGTTAAGGATTTTGGGTAATTTTCATGGATTTAAGATTAAATTTTGCGAAAATGAACCAAAAGAAGCAAAAAAATAGGCAAAAAATTTAATGAAAATTCAAAAATCGAAAATCCTACAACTATAAAACTTCAAAAACTTATTTTACATGTTCGTTTATAATTATAGATTTTCGATTTTTAAATTTTCATGGACTTTTCCAAAAAACCATGGATAATTGTCTAAAAAATAATGAAAATTTAGTCGAAATCCATGAAAAAATATAGTCCTAAAATCAGTGAAATTGACCAAACGTCCTCGAAAAATGGGTCGAAATTCATGAAAAAAAGATCTCAAATTCATGAAAAATGCCAAAAATTTAGGAAAAAATGATTCAAAATTTATGAAAAATGGCCAAAAATCCTTGGAAAAATCATTAAAATTCATGAAAAATTGTTCAAATCGATGAAAAAGTATCCCTAATTTTGTGAAAAATGGTCCAACAATTATGAAAAATGATCTAAAATCTTTGAAATCGTGCTCTAAAAATTTAGGAAAGATGGCCCCAAAATAACGAAAATTTGTCCTAGAAATCATGAAAAATGAGTCAAAATTAATGGAAAATGATCCTTTAAAAATTGTCCAAAAAAACCTTGAAAAATTGTCTCAAAATCATCAACAAATGTCTAAAATCGATCAAAACTGATCTAAAAATCATGTAAAATTGGCTGAAGATCCATTGGAAAATGCCAAAAAAACCTGAATAATGGCCGAAATCCTTGAAAACTTGTCCCAAGATCGTCAAAAATGGCTCAAAATCCAAAGGAAATGCTCCAAAAATCCCCAAATTGTCAAAAAAAAAACGTCCAGAATCCATGAAAAATGATCCAAAATCATTCAAAACAGTGTCCCAAAACCCCATTTTCTCCCCCCGTATTTTTTCGCCCAACTAACTGTTCTCTAATACAAATCGAATTCGAGAACAAATCAATCACAAATTGCCGTCGATGCTTGTTGTTGTTCCTTTCAAAGAACATTCCAATCACGTGTTCGCTGCATTCACTGAATAAAATGACATCTCTGTCTGTCTGTGTGTCCAGATGTCTCCTCTTCTCCTACCTTCTCGCCAACTGTCTATCCAAATCATTTCGATGCCGTTTGAGGAGCACTTTCAAAATCTTCACAACCTCATCTCTTCGCTCCTCTTTAGCCAGCAATTTGCCCAAATAGAAGCCTCCATTCGACAGCATAATCACCTGGAAATCAGTTTTTTTTAAATATTTGCCATTTTTCTTTTCCCCCTCTTCTCTCTCTCTCTCCCTATCTAGAACATTCTAGAGACGCAGAGAAATTAGTGATCGTCGTGCCTGTAAACAAGCGATCACACGAAACGACCATTTCGGCAAGTAAGCTGCATGACGTGGATTCGTTTGTTGGCCTAGATTAGGTTGGTTGGCTGAAACAACTTGAAGGGTCTGATCAGAGAACAAATGATAAGAAAGAAGGACTTTCAAAGACCAAAGGTGTCAGCTGGTGATAATTTTAGAAAGATCAAAATATCGAAAATCGATTCCTGTTTCCCAAAGTACAGTACTTCTAGTCTACCTTTTGCTGTTTAATTCGACATATACAGTACTAGCTAGCCAAAAATCTATTTAAAAAAAACCGAAAGCTTGCCGAGAAGTACTGTACATTGACAAGCAGACTACAGTACTCCTGACACACCGAGTACTCTGTCCATCTCGGTGGTTTTATACAAGTGTTACAGCGTCACTTCCCCCCCCCCCCCCTTTAAAGTGACACCTTTCCCATTCAAAAACATACAAAAATACATGTCATGCCCATCATAAACATGTGTAATTTAATGTATTTTGGAAACGAAAACAGCTATTTTTGTACTGTTTTTTTTTACATTTTTCTCTGCGTCTCTCAAAATCACATTATCTTGAATGTGAAGTCGAATGAGGGGTCCAAACCAGAAGAGCTATTTTTGAGCCAATTTATCTCGGTTCCTGTGAAAGATATTAAAAAGTGATAAACTGATGAAATGTTCATCGTAATACGATCAATGTTTTATCAGTTGACAGCTTTTCGATATCTGTTACAGTAACCGAAATGAATTGACTCAAAGTTGATGGCTAGCAACTATCACGTTAGTCACACTCCTCCGCTATCATTATCAACATATAACCAATCCATCTTCTGCCAATCTCATTCAACTGACCATTCTCTCAATTTCAAAAACCGATCACTTCCACATTCTATTTCGCAATGTGTTGTGTATGTTCGGCGGCAGTAAACAAGCTCCGCCCCCTTTTCTTCCTTTCTATTTAAGTGAGCCATAGATCGGCGTCGTCTTCTAACCACACATACTCTCTTCTTCTTGTTTTCGTTGAATGTGTTTTTGTGAGAAAGAGGGAGCCCCGCGCCCCGCTGTCATGTGACTCCGCCCCTACCCTGCGTCTCTCAGTGCGCACTCTGTTTATGTCCCTTCCCTCAGCGCCATTCGCTCTGCCTACCTCGGACGGAGGAGGTCACCACTCGTTTTTTTTCTCCACATTGATTTTATATTCAAAGCCTTTATCGAATCTTCCAGAAAGTTCCGAAAATGAGCGCTATGGATAACAACGAGACGACTGAGATGAAGGTCGGACATCCACCAGCAACCATGGTTGGCGGACGTCGCATCGTGAATCGCAAGGATCGCAAGGCGTCGGATTCCAATGAGCACACCAACTCGGAGAGCTCCGATGAAGTCGTTCGCGAGATTTTGGATGCGGATTTGCCGGCAAAGGTGAGATATGGGCCATAGCCTGGGGTATGCTAGGGACCTTCTAGAAGGTTTCTGACTTTTTTAAGGACTATAGGAATCGATCTGAAAGCTCCAGGAGCATCCAGAGGGTCCTGAGACTTCTAGGACCGTCAAGCAGCGGTCAGAATTATTTAGAAGCCGTCAGATACGCCTCCAAGCCTCCAGAAGACGTCTGTCTTTCTAAGGTCGTCTAGACCGTCTCGAACTTTCTAGAAGGATTTCAAAAGGTTCCCGATCTTTCGAGAACTCTAGGAACCGATCTGGGGGTTCTAGGTCCATCAGGATCCTTCTAGAAGTGGCCAGAACCTTCTAGAAGCTTTTAGAATCGTCTAGAAACTTACCAAGCCTCCAGAAGACATCTGTCCTTCTGAGGTTTTCTAGGATAAGCCTAGGATCCTTTCAGAGCTTTTTGAAACGTCCCAGCAGGGGCTGGAACCTGCTCTCAGTGCTGCTGGGGCTTCTTTAAACCTTCCAGAGCATTTCTAGCCGCTAGCTTGGACGCAAGAGAAACAGTAATAGACTCCTTAGTAAGCCTAGACAACCACAACCATACGATCAGAGTCCTCTAGCAACTAAACTACCAAAACCTGCAAATCTAACTTTTTCCAGATGGACCGCTCGTATCCAACTGAAGCTGTCAAACGGGTCCACGAGAAGCCGCAACCGGCCATTCAACCAAACCACGTGTTCCGTGCCGACAAGTCCGGACAGCACCAATTCCAGCCACGCAAACAGACCCATTAAACTGCTGAAATCTCAGAATTCTAAAACTCCCATGATGTCGGACCCCCAAAAAAAGTTTTTTTTTTGAAAATTTTTCCTGTATTATTCTTGTGCAAAAAAATTGGAGGCTGTGTTTTCGAAAATTCTCCTTGAAATACGGTGGCCTAACTTGTGTGAAAATTCGGCCACAACTCCAATTTTTTTGCACAAGAATAACATATAATTTCTTTTTTCCTCTGTCTAGCTTATTGTAAACTGTGTACCACTATAGTAATCTCTCTGTATTTAAACATTCCTTTTTGGGTTTAATAATAAAAATGTAAATAATGCAAATGCGCTCCAACTAGAATTACTCACCCGGGTAAACGAATGATTCGATAGGAAGAGAAAAATCCGAAGACATTGTGTGACGATATTCTCGTTTGTGGACTCTAGAAGAAGAGCGATTCGATCGAAAAGGATCGTGTTGCTTGACAGCCAACTGGTCCCAGCTCCTTATTATTGCACAAATTTCCGATTAATCGACACGTCGCGACGCGGATTTCTATGTTGGAAGTGGTGCTTTCGAAGATTCGGACTGAAAAATTCAAATTTCCCACTAAAGACTACGGTAGCACTTTTAAAGGAACATTATGCTTTAAAGGAGGGCAGACAGCAAAAATTTCGGGGAAAATTTCAGGGAATGTGTATTTTGCCGTCGCGGTGTTCGCACCTAAAGCACGCAATCCCACGCGCAAACATTATTATTTTTTTATTTCCCGACTTTATTTTTTTCAATTTTTAACGACTTCAAACATTAAAAAAGCTCTTAACGACTTCAAACATTAAAAAAGCTCTCGCTCCTCGAGACCCCGCAAATTCCGGGAAAAAAAAACTCCGGGGAAAGTGGGCGGAGTCNANAAAAACCGTGCCAGGGATGCAATTNATGCTCCGCACCCTCATGACCGTGTCCAAATGTGCAGAAAAACCCTGCGGCAAAACCGTGCCAGGGTTGCATTTTAGGCTCCGCCCACTTTTCCCCGATTCTTTTCTCCAGTTTTTTATTTCCCCGGAATTTGCGGGGTCTCCGCTCCTCGAAACCTCGAGAGCAATTACGCTCCAATGCACAATCGTTTTCGGGCGGGAAACACTAGAATTCAAATAAAAAAGTGCTCGCTAACCGGCTTGATCTAGGAAACTTCGAGAAGCTCGTCGAATTTGATTCCCAGTTGACGTCGTTTTATCGATATAACAGCAATTTGCAAGGATACTTATAGAGTACCTATGGATGTCTTCGTGGTACCTGAGGTTTAGCGAATTTTCATTATTTTCAGCTTCCCACACTCACATCGAAGTGCCTAGCAATGCAGTTTCCCTTGAAAACACTGAAACTAAATCTTCCAGATTCCGGCGATGCGCCACGAATCCGCCAATTTTCGCGGCGTTCGACAGCATCTGCTTCAGCTTTTTCGCCGCTTTCACAGCCGATTCTTTGTCTGCTCCCTTTAGTTTTTCAACCACATCCTCATACTCATTATTCACCGTCAAATCTGCACTTTTCGATCGTTGCCGGTCGTTGGTCCGCCGCTTTTTCGGTGGTGGCTGTCCTCCTCGTTCACTCATGGTTTTCTGAAAGATTTCTCCTCTCTTTTATATAATGTGTCATTGTGTTGTATTTTCTCTGTGTACCATCTGCCCTTGTTGCGCGCGCACAGTCGGAGAGTCACTCCATTTCTCTACCCATTCGAGGTCGCGCAGAGAGTCACTGCACGAGAAACGCGTCAAGCTTTTCGCTTGGCGCGCAAATTTAAAATTTGAATTTCGAGCGTTTTCCGCTGATTCTTTTTGGATTCTCGGGCTAAAAACATGATTTACACACATTTTCTATTAGTTTCTCTTGGTTTTAAACTTTTTAAATCATATTTTCAAAGAAAAATATTGAATTTCCCTTCGCTGAACACTCTTGCCAATTATAACACTTTCTTGGTGTTTTCAGCAGCATTTTAATCGCTTTCATGGCTTAAAAACAATTTTCAGCATGTTGTTAACCTAGTACTAACCTGTTTGGATCAATACACCAGCGAAGAAGCGTACACAACGAGTCGAAAACAGCGGCGGCGGCGTTGGCGCGTTTCGCGTGCACGCTCTCTCTCACTCATCGGCCCCGACCCGTTTCGCGCTGCGTCTCTTGATTCTGCGCGCTCACTCGCCCTTCTCTCTCTTTCCTCAACCAACCAATACAACGCTGTGTCTGGCACCCAGCCAACACAATTCGCGCGCGTTTTCGTTATTTTGAAGGCCTGGGTGTTGGGACACACTCGTTGCTTTTCCCGCCCCTATTTTTGGGTTCTGTTCTATCGTAAAAATGCGCGAAAATTCGTCTGGAACCGATTTTCGTCAATTTTTCATCAATTTTCCCCGATTTTTCGGTTTAAAATCACACATTATCTCGATTTTCTCATTTTCCATCGATTCCCCATCATTTTTTACCCCCTGGAACTCATTTTATTCGAAATTTCGGTCGTCTCCAACTCCAATAATCGCCCCGCCTCCTCCTCTCCAATTTTCAAATTTTCGAGTTTCGCGCGCACGTCGCGCCGCCTTTCAGGGTTTAGACACGGATTACCGATGGGGAAATGAGATTAGGATATGGGAAATTGAGGGATTTTTCAAGGAAAAATACAAAGAAATATATAATTGAACGTTTTAGAGCTGAAAATGCTGAAAATTGAGGACTTTGAGAAGGAGAAAAGGGGAGAAAATTAGTGAAAAGTGCCATTTTAGGGGATTTTCATAGAAAATAAGTTTGATTTTAGTAATTTTGAATGGGGTTCTCATAGATTTTCGAAATCCAGCTAAATACCTATTTTGACGGGGTTTCTATTTTGAAAAATGCCTTTAAATTAGGTTTTTTTGCCCGAAAAATTGAATTTTTTGTATTTTTTATCTCTGTAAACGGGTTTTTGGTCCAAAAAGGCCAAAAATATTGTTTTTTTTTCAACATCTTTTATCACGAAATGGCTTTGAAATCAACCCGTTTTTGGCCAGAAAATCCAATTTTTGCCTATTTTTTCATATAATTTGGACCGTTTTTCATGAATTTTGGGCTATTTTTCATGGATTTCTGACTATTTTTCATGAATTTTGAGCCATTTTCCATGGATTTCGGTCCACTTTTCTTCTCGAGACCTCTTTTTTTTCAGCATGTTTGAAAAACGAAATGGCTTGAAAATCAACCCGTTTTGGGAAGAAAATCCAATTTTTGCCTATTATTTGCTTTAAAAAAAATAGTTTTTTAGTTGTTTTGGATCGTTTTTCATAGATTTTGGCCATTTTTCATGTAACTTGGACGATTTTTCATGAGTTTTGGGCTATTTTTCATGGCTTTTGGTCCGGTTTTCCATGTTTTTTGGCCTATTTACATTATTTTCTGACCATTTTTCATGAATTTTGAACCAATTTTCATGAATTTCGGTCCATTTTTCTTCTTGAAACCTCTTTTTTTTTTTCAAATCTGAATACTTCTAAATTTCCCCTCATTTCAGGCCTAAAAATGACCACAAAACGAAAGCGTGCAGCCGAGCTGGAGCCCGAGAAGGATACGCCGTCCACATCGAACGCCGCCAAGAAGCGGAAAGGACGAATGACTCTTGCCGAGAGGGAGAAACGGGAAATTGAGGTGGGGAAAATTTAAAAATTAGGTTATTTCTGGCCTTTTTGGTCGAAAATTCGGGAAAAAACGCCCCAAAATTAATAAAGTTGACTCATTTTTGTCAATTTCAGCTCGTCAAAGGCAACTATGTCATGTCGAAAATCCGCCGTCAACGCAGCACAGCCGGCACCAATGAGCCGATATTCGAGAGTTTTCTCCGAGTACCGTCACGTCGTCTAGAGCCAGAATATTATGAAGCTGTCAAGGAGCCAATCGATATTACTACGATTCAACACAAGCTGAAAAATCCGGATTATCAGACTTTTGATCAGTTTCAAAGCGATTTCGACACGTTTATAAGTAATAATCTGGCCTATTATCAGGTAAATTCATGGCGAAAAATAGCTGAAAATAGCCAAAAATCGATTTTCAGAAAGATTCTGATGAGCACAAGGATATGCTGAAGATCCAGGAGCTCTACAATGCGGCATGTGAGAAGGTCGATTCCGGAGAGTATTTGAATGATAAGCAGGAGGAAGAGGAAGACGACGACGACGACGATGTGGAAGACGTAACGCCAGAAGAAGAGGATTCAGAAGTCGCGCAGGAGACGGGAGAATCATCGTCACGTGATGTTTCACCAATGGAGCTGGACGACTACATGTTGTGTGATCTTTTAGGAGCTGTTCTAGAAGCCGCAGACAGCTCTGGACGACTTCTCTGTCCTCCGTTTAGAGTTTTACACTCGAAAGAGGATTTTCCAGAGTACTACCAGAAGATTGCAAAGCCGATCGATTTGAAAACGATTGCTCAGAACGGCAAGGACAAGAAGTATGAAACAATGCAGCACTTGAAGGACGACCTGTTTCTCCTGTTCAAAAACGCTCAACAATTCAGTGGAAAGGGGAGTGACATCTGGAAAGATGCTGAGCAATTGAAGACAGTAGTAAGAGAGAAAATTGCGAAGCTGGAAGAGAAGGGAGTTCATCCGATGAGAAGGGCCAAAGCTACACGACTTGTTGACGCTCTGTTGACCGCTGTCGCAGTGAATGACAACTTTTCGGAGGATTCTGAAGAGGATGAGGAGACGGAACAGGCTGACGAACCGATGTGGAAGGTGTACTGGACGATTCGGAATGCGATGGATAAGGATGTGCCGTTGGCGGATAACTTTTTGGAGTTGCCTTGCAAGGAGTGAGTTTTGGGGCTTATAACCTGTATTAGAAGGGCCCCCCACTGTCAAGTTTGAGCTCAATTATCTCGATTCTTAAGAGAGATATCAAAAAAGAAGCAAATGATAAAATATTTCTGATATCTTGATAAACAATTTATCAGTTGACAACTTTTCAATATCTTTGACAGAAACCGAGATATATTGGCTTGAAGTTAAAAGTTAGGAGGCCCTTCTATTACAGGTTTTACGGTATATCACTAAAAAGTCTTAAAACCTGTGATAGAATAGGCCTCTAACTTTGACCCAATTTATCTCGGTTCTTGTCAAAGATATCAAGAAGTTGTCAACTTATAAATTGTTTATCATAATATCACAAACATTTTATCAGTTAACACATTTTTGATATCTTTTAAAGCAGCCGAGATAAATAAGCTCAAATTTGATGACAATGTGGGCGCCCTTCTATTACAGGTTTTAGGGTATTTTTTTTTTCAAAATTCCAGCTCGTCATTTTGGTGTTACTGTAAGAATTTTTGTGAAAAATAGGTTCCAAATTCATCGTAAAATCAAAGAAAAATACCTTCAAAATTATGAAAAATAAAAAAATACAGTATCCTTCGCTACCGTACCTAAGCTCCGCCCACTCTCAAAATTTCGGCCGTAAATTAGACCACAGTGATACCGAATTATCAAAATATCAATTTTTATCAAAATATCAGTTTTAGCGACCTCAAAGGAATGCTTAAGGCTTTCAAAGTTATTTTAAGGGCCTTCAAGGGGTCCTAAATACCCTCAAAATGACTCAGACTGTACCAAAAAATCTTCCAGATCCTATCCTGACTACTACGACGAGATAAAGCAACCTGTCTCCTTGTTCATGATCAACAAACGTCTCAAAAACGGGCAGTACGACTTCAAGACCCTCATCGCCGACCTCATGACAATGTACTCCAACGCGTTCGAATACAATCTCGAGTCGTCGGATGTCTGTATTGCGGCTCAGAAGCTTCGGAATCTCACGATTGCCACGTGTAAGGAATTGGTTCCCTCGTTCGATGTGAGCCAGTTTGAGCCAGCGGCACCATCGGCACCCAACACCCCACAGAAGCCGAAAGCGCGCGCCCGACAGGTGAAGATCGAGATGCCGGATACGGATTCAGATGATAGTCGGACGCCTCCACCGTCGCATAAACGAAAATCGCCGAAGAAGAACAGGGAGAACGGGACGCCAACGCCGGGCTATAAAAATCGGAAATCCATGCCTCCTGTGGACCCGAACGCTGCCTATATGAAACAAAAGACGATGATGCAGGGGTTGTGGAATGCTATTCATCAGTTTAGAGCTCCTGGAAACTTGGCCTACTGGCCTGCGGGCGCTTTCATAGACCTCCCATCGGCAAAGGTGTATCCCGAGTACTATCAAGTCATCCAGAACCCAATTGATATGAAAATCATCCGAACCCGAATCGACACTCATCAGTATCCGATGGTCGACGCGATGATTGCGGATTGTCGTAGGATGTTCGCCAACGCGAGACAGTTCAACGAGCCCGGTTCCAATATTCATCAGGATGCGATCCAATTGGAAAAGGCGGTTCTTCGTGCGTATGATGGAATGAGGAGTCAACAGCAGTACCCCATGATGGTACCATATGGGCAACCAACACCACAGCCGTATATGATGCCAGCCGGGTCCATGCCAGCAACACCACATGGATCAGCGTCGAATTTGACGAATATGTAAGTTTTGGGACACACTTTCCATAGATTTGATCCAAAATCCATTAAAAATTATCCAAAATTCATGAAAAATGGTCCGAAATTTCTGTTTTTTTTTCATGGATTTTAGATCATTTTCCATGGATTTCGACCCATTTACATGGATTTTAGACCATTTTCCATGATTTTTAGTCTCTTTTCAATGGATGTTGAGCTATTTTTTATGATTTTTGGACTTTTTCTATGGATTTTAGACCATTTTTAATGGATTTAGGACTATTTTTCATTAATTTAGGACCTTTTTTCCATGATTTTTGGACTAGTTTCCATGGATTTTAGACCATTCTTCATAGATTTTTGACCATTTTCAATGGATTTTAAACTACTTTTTTTTTTCTGGATTTAGGACCATTTTTCATGATTTTTGGACTTTTTTCTATGGGTTTTTACAGGAAAACCCCAAAAACGGAGACACGTGGCCGCAAGAAGAAGTATGGAGGTCCAGAGGACAATGAAGAAGAGCTGGCTCGTCAACAAATGATTCAACAGCAACGTCAAATTGACCAAGCCATTCTCCAGCTGCCCATCGAAGAACAGAAGATGTGGAGACTGTTCAAATCGATGAAAGACGTGAGAAGCGACGACGATTCGAGTCGCCCGCTGGCTGTGAATTTCATGCGTCTTCCGACGAAAGAAGAGTTTCCAGGCTACTATGATGTGATTAAGAAGCCAATGGATTTTATGAGAATCAAGGCGAAATTGGAGAATCGTCAGTATGTAACCCTTCTTGATGTGGTCTCTGACTTCATGCTCATGCTCTCCAACGCCTGCAAATTCAATGAAACTGATTCTGTGATCTATAAGGAGGCTGTGTCTCTTCAGAAGTATCTTCTCGAAATGAAACGATCGTTGGATTCAGGAGAGGATGCTCCGAGGGTACAAGTCGAGCTTCGTACGATCTTCACGTCGATCTTCGCCGCCTTATACAGTAAGAAGGATGAGGATGGAAAGTGTTGGGCAGACTATTTCATTGAGTTTCCGGACCTAATGAAGGCTGCTGGAGTGCCACCAGCTGAATGGCCATTCACAATGGACCAAATTAAAATCAATATCGATAAGTGTCGGTATAGACGGCTCGACAAACTTCAAAAGGACTTTTTCGACTTGTTCGAAACAGCAAGAGAGTTGGCGAAGCTCGAATCACCGATCTATGAAGCGGCGTGTCAGTTGCAGAAGGCGTTCATTGTGGAGAGAGATGCGAAGTGCAAGGACGTGATTCACTCGCAAGCGTACAGTGTCATCGAGAAGGATATCGATGAGGCGATTGAGAAGGAGAAGGTGGTCAAGGCGAAGGAGGAGTCGGATGAGGGTGGAGAGAGCCCGGCGATGGGTGGAAGAGCAGCGGTTATTAAGAGAAATGTGAGTTTTTGTGTTAAAGAAGCTTCTAGAACCCTCCAAAGCTTAGCTTCTAGAATCTGCTAGATCAGTCTAGAATCCTTCTGAAGCTTCTAGAACTGTCTAGAGCTCTCTAGGATCGTTCTGAAGCATCTTGGATCCTCTCGAATCCTCTAAAGCTATATAGGATCCTTCGGTAGCTTCTAGAACTGTCTAGAACTCTCTAGGCTCGTTTTCAAACTTCTAGGATTCTTCGGAAGCTTCTAGAACCGTCAAGAGCTCTTTAGGATCCTCTAGAGGCCTTTGGGAACCTTTGGAAGATTCTAGAATCCTTATGACGCTTCTCGGATCCTTTTGAAGGATCCAAAGTCGTTCGGAAGCTTCTAAAGATCTCTAAGATCCTTCGAAAGCTTCTAGCAGCCTCTAGAGTTCTTTGGGATCCTTTCGAATTTCCCCAGTGCCTTCTGGACACACCTACGCCTTTTTATGATCTATCCCCCTCTCATTTTCCAGGAATCCGAAGTGGAAATGGAGGACGTCGAAGTCGACGGTGTCAAGTATGTGGCGCCGTGCTACGCCTACATCGCGCGTGCCGACGAGAAGAAGACTCCCCTCCACATATTTCGAATCGAGCGTACGTTCAAAGACGAAACTGGCGAGAAGGCTCTTCAAGGATTCTGGGTCTATCGTCCCGACGAGACACTTCATCTGGCTAGCCGCAAATTCATCAAACAAGAAGTCTTTCTGACTCCGTTCCGAGGCACGATTCTTGCCGAACGACTGCGTGGACAGTGTGCAGTTGTGTCGCTTGCCACGTATTCTACCAAGATTCTGAGCGATTTCGCTGAAGAAGACGTCTATCTGTGTGAATACAAGTATCATGGAAAACCAAAGTACTTTTCGAAATTGAGATCCTGGCCGTACAGTTCAGAAGATGAGGAGTTGGAATGCACGAAACGGGGAAAGCCAGTGACGCCAAAGAGGATTCTAACGGTGGTAGATCCGACGTCTTCAGAAGAGAAGGAAATTGTGGAGGTGGAAGACGATGATGAGGAGGATCGTGCACGTCTAGAAGTCTCTTTGGATATGGAACGATTCGAGTATGAGTCGACCAAGGAGGACGGAAAGATCTACTACCAACAGATCCGCTCTTCAACTGGCAAATTCTTTTGGCTCGGACAATGCGTTCTGGTGTTCAATCCCCTGAAACCCCTCTGTGATGTGATGCGGATCAATAAGCTGTGGAGAGAGGAGGCGGATGGATCGGAATGGTTCTCCGGATCCTGGTTTGCTCGTCCATCGGAAACGATTCATGACGAGGGTCGACTGTTCTTTAAGAATGAGGTCATTGGTGTTTATCGGAATGATGAGACGCGCAAGTTGTGCGAAATACAGAGAACTTGCGATGTGATGCCAGCGAAATTCTATACGAAGCGTGAGTTTTTGAGGGGCTTGAAATTCCGGGTTTTCCAGGTACTGTAGCTACCGTAATCTTTAGAATTGTAGCAGTTACAGTACTCCTGGAAACGCCCCCATGTTACCGAAAAAAGGGAGGGGCTTGAAATCCGGATTTTTGGCGAGTGCTTCCGTAATCTTTATCTAAAAGGGGCGGAGAACAAAATCCTGATTTTTTGGGGTTCACTGTACACACATTTTCCGGATTACTGTACCTCAAAAACGCCCAAAATGAGGTCAGTCGACGAGGCTACTGTAGATTACGGTAACTGCGTTCACAGGCTGTAGCTACAGTAATCTTTCATCAGAATACTTTTATCTGTGTTTCGGACATCTGAATAAACAGATACATAAACTACAGTAATAACCCTCCTGAGCATTTTGGATTACTGTCGATTACTCCCTCCTTATCAGCTAGGTCTCCAGCTACAATACCCCCAAACTAAACTTTAAAATCTCTCCAGATAAAAACCTACAGTAAGTCTTGGTTCCTCGAAAATCTCTTTTTTTTCAGAACGTCAAACCGAAATATCGGAATGCGACGTCTTCGTGTGCGAAACAATGGTCAACGGCACTGCCGATGCTCCAGACGATTGCTCATTGATTGGCTATCCGGATCCGGCGAACGAGTTTACAGATGTGCAAACGATGAATCTGGACTATGCAAAATCCATGAAAAAGATGAAGGTTCGTTCATTGATCAAATTTGTAGATCAATACATCTAGATAAACAGATACAGAACTACAGTAACCCGTCCTGAGCATTTTGGATTTTTGTAGGTTACCCCCTATGTCTCAACTACAGTACCCCCAAACTAAACTTTAGAATCTCTCCAGATCAAGACCTACAGTAAGCCTTCCAACAAATCGTTAGGATTACTGTAGATCGATTTGTGATCTATTTTTTCGCGCCTCGGAGGTTTCGGAGGTTTCAGCTGTCAGTTTTTCGTCCCGTTGATAAAAGAGAACTCTGCCATATATAATCACTCATTTTCTCCTTTTTTCTATCCGTTTTCATCCCTTTTAGGCTTCATCCCCTGTTTTCTTAAGCTCCACCCAGCATTGCTCATTGAGCACGTCTTTGTAGTCGTCAGCGTCATTATCAGCAGAAGATTAGGAATTTCCTTCTTTTTGAGCTGAGCTGAGATTCAGAAGGCGCCGACGCCGCAGAAGAAGAAGCAGCTGCCTTCTCCTAGTTTCCTCCTAGTGGACCACCAGCAGCAGCAGCCAACACTAATTGTCTTCTCACACAGTCAGCCTACCCTCCTCCCCTCGCCACCCTTCAATTCGAGAACCCCCCGAGGAGAGACAGAAACGTCACTCTGCGTTTCTTCTACATGGCCACTACCCTCGCTCTGGCCTCCTCCTCTCTCTGTGCGTCCCTGCGCGCGCATCGATTGGCCCCAAGAGGAAACAGACGAACAGACACTCGACGAGAGAGTGGGACGGATTAGGAGAGCGGAGTGGCTTGCCAAGGGAGAGAGCACACCGAACGAGGAGAGTGGGGTAGACAGTAAGGAGGTCGTGAAATAAAAGAAGAAGGGGGGGGGGAGGCAGATGGTGGTGTGTGTGTGTGTGTGCTGTGTGCGCTATGCTGACGTGCCTGCCCAGTCTATAGCGGAGACCCCCCTCACTTGCATCTTGGTCTATCGGCCTGCCTGCTTGCCTGGCGCGGACGACAAGAGCCTGTGTGTGTGCGTACAGGCAGCAGCAGTAGAATCTTCTTCTTCTCTTCTGATGCCGGCTGCAGGCTTGCTGCTGCTGCCTGCAGCCAGCTCTCCCTTCTTCTCCTTACCTCCGCTTGGCCGCCACCGCCGCCCTAGCCGCTCCAACTCGGAGTTTCTCTTTCTCTGTCTCCGCCGCCGTCGTCTATCTTCATAGAGGAGGTGGTGGTACTGTAGGGCGCCCCCTTTGATCCTAGATTCTAGAAGCATAGGGCATTCTAGTAGGAGCGGAGGGCTATGAGAATCAGGGGCCCCCGGGGGATTAGCGTTGCCATGGAGCCCCGATGTAGGCTACAAGTAGAATAGAATAACAGTGATGGGATCTAGAAGTCCCTATAGAATCGTGGACTCTCGTTTTCCTGAATCCAGCACTTTAAGATGACGTCAGCTGACCGTAGCCTGCGACACTCAAAATCTGAAAATCCGATTCCCACTCTTTTTCATGGCTCTCGCTTTCCTGAATCCATTGAATCCAGATGACGTCATCTGACCACTCACCTGAAAATCCAGAAGCTTTGGTTTGATTGGTTTCTAGAATCGCCTGACGTCTTCTAGGAGAGCTTTCCCACGTCTTCCGAAATTTTGATTTTTGAATTTCCGCCCTCTCCAGAATCCCTCCCCCCTCATCCTTGGAATTTTTACAGACCTACAAACTGCACGTGTCGATCCCGAATGAAGAGATTCTGTTCTACAAGCAGCCAATAAAAATGGAAAAGGAACTCTCACCACGTGTGAACGGCGACGGCGTCATGCCACTGGATCATCTCGATGAAATGATGGACGACGACACGGATGGCAGTGAGTCGGTTACGAGCAGTAGCCATCCTCCACGTCACGTCAAGGAGGAGACCCCGGCGCCGGTCACAGCGGCGACATCTTCATCGCCGCCTGAGACGCCGTCGGAATCTGGAGGAGACGTGGCAGCCACAGTAGCCGCTGTCGCCAATCAAACCGCATCAACGCCAGTGACACCGAAAGCGGTCAAAAGCAAAAGTGGCTACATTCTATTCTCCGCAGAAGTCAGGAAGCGAATTATGCACGAGAATCCGGATTCTGGGTTTGGAGACGTGTCGAGAATAGTTGGTGTAGAGGTAAGAGGCTCTCTAGGGAGGAGCATCTTGTAGAGAGAGAGCAACTTCTAAATTTGCCATATTTTCAGTGGAAAAAACTGTCGGAAGAGCAAAAGAAGCACTACGAGCTGCGTGCGGAAGTGGTGGCCGTCGAGAAGGCGAAACAGGATGCCATTAAAGCCCATCAGGCGATGACACTACTTCCCGGACAAGTGCGGATCTATGCGTGTAAATGGGCCGCCTGTGACACTCAATACGATACGGAGACGGCGCTTCTGGAGCATGTGATTCAACACCATACTAGTCAGATTATCAGTGAGTAGTTTTTTTTTCTTTTGAAGAGAGAGCTTTAAAATGAGTATAATCATGACTTTGGACTTCAAAAATTTCAAATTTCCCGTTTTAACTTGTCCACGAGGAGCCCAATTCTCGATAACGAGTTTTGAACTCCTCGTGGACAAGTTATGGCGGATAAATTTGAAAAATTTGAAGAGCTTCGAAATGAGTATAGTTGTGACCTAACTCGTTCAAAAATTCCAAATTTCCCGCCACAACTTGTCCACGAGGAGTCCAAAGCTTGTTATACTCATTTTGAAGAATTAGAGATGTTTGTGGATTTTCAATTAAAATTAGGCTCTTAGCAAGCTTCAATCTTCAAAAGTTTTCAAATTTACCGCTTTAGCTTGTCCACGAGGAGTACACGACTCGTATTTTCTCAATAACGAGTTTTGAACTCCTCATGGACAAGTTGTGGCGCAAAATTTGAAATTTTTGAAGAATTAGAGATGTATGTGGTATTTTTATCTTCCTTCTCCTCCTTCTATCATTGGAGCGTAATTGCTCATTTCCTTGACATTTTAATAAAACCCTCCTCTTCTTTCAGTGGACAGCGACCAACAGTTCGTGTGCATGTGGATGACGTGTCTTCGGAATCGAAAAGACGGAAAACCGTTCCCCTCACTGCCACGTCTTCATCGTCACATCAAGGAGAAGCACATGCCAACGTCGGCCAAGACGATTCATCAAACGCAGCTCGGCAAGAACTTCTATCGAGTAATGAGTGCTCCGGGCGAGCCGACACGTGTCAGTCATCAACCGTATGGAAACGCACCGACGGGACCGCCACAGACGATGCAGGCGCCACCACAGCAGGTACACCACGTCAATGGACACCATCAGAATGGAACCGTTGGACAACATCTTCAGGCACAGTTGATGAATGGTGGAGGGTTGCATCAGCAACAGCATGTAGATCATTCACACCATCAGCAGCAGCAGCATTATCAGGTAGGTCCTACTGGAGGAATTGGGTTCTTATCAAGGCTGTAAGCCCCTGTTCCCTACAGCCTTGGATCTTATATTCCTAGAATCCTCCAATATCGATTTATTGATTTTTTACAGCCTGGCCATTCAGCCCAACAGAACGGAATGTACCAACAGGGGCCATCATCCTCCCAGCAACACCACCATCCACAGCATCCACAGCAGCAGCACCCACAACACCAACAATACCATCAAGGACCACCACCACTACCACCCCAACAACAGCAAATGATGCAAATGCAACAGGGACAACAACCCCAGCAGCAGCAAATGCAACAAGTCCCACAAATCGCCGACGTCGGAAGGACCGTGGTCCGATGTGTGGTGCCCGCGTTCATCGCGCCGCCCAATCAGATCCACACCAAGAGAGTGCTGCACTCGGAAGCGTATTTGAAGTGAGTTTGGCCAGAAAAAAAACCTGTAATAGAAGGGCCCTCTAACTTTTGACTTTGAGTCAATTTATCTCGCCTCCTTTGAAAGATATCAAGAAGTTGTCAACTGATAAATTGTTTATCAGGATATCACAAACATTTTATCAGTTGACACATTTTTGATATCTTTTAAGGGAGCCGAGATAAATGAGCTCAATGTGGGGGCCCTTCTATTACAAGTTTTACGGTGAATTGGATTTCAAGCCAATTTCGCTCCAGAATATCTATTCTCTATTTGAAAACGAAGTTTTTTTTTCCAAACTTTGACCTTTTAGGCGGGATTGTTCATGCTAAAAAATACTGAAGTTTTGAGTGAATTTTGGCAATCAATTGCTCATCCTTAATTATCAATTGTTTTCCAGATACATTGAATCGCTGGCTCAAAATCGCCAAAAATCCGTGTCTCGCTGGGAGAAGAATCTGGGATCAACCATCCGAAACACGCAACCAAATCCCAATGCGAGACCACCGACCAATTGGATTAGGGTAAGGAGCCTCTTTTCGCATTTTTCCCATTCAATAACATTTTGCGATGGGTGTTTTCTGTGTATTTTACAGTTTCTTTCGTTCAAATCTTGACTAATGTCGATAGAGCGCGTTTATACTCAACAATCTGGAAAATTGTCAGTAGAGTGTGTTTACTGACCAGATATTCAAAGCTAGCTCTCTGAGAGCTTCAAAATGAGTATAATCATGACCCTACTCTGAAAAATTTCAAATTTCGCGCCAATGACTTGTCCACGAGGAGTTCAAAACTCAAATTTTGCAATTTTCAGAGAACTGAAGCCGGTCGTCCAGTTGCCCGCGAAGAAGACGTCACCAAAGCACTGTGGCGGCTACGCGATGAACTTCTGAAGAGCACATGTGGAATGGTCTTGGAACGGCCGACACTCTAAATCCCTAAATCTCTAAAATCTGTAATATTGGCATCACTCTCTGACACCCTCTCCATATCCCCTTATCTCTCTAAAATAAAATTCCCAGTTCAATTTTGTGTTGTATCTCCACAGTATCTCTCTCATCCTACTGTCCTTTTTTTTTAATTCTCAAAAAAAATCAAATTTTTTGAAAAATCTGTCAAATCTGGTTCTTTCACTTCAAATGATCTATTCTCTACCGTCAGAATCTATTCCCATCCCCCAATTAATTTCTTTTTTTTGGTAGTAATTTATTTTCCCCTTCCCCCCAATCAATTACTGTCTCTCCATCATTCTCAGATCTAAGCCGGGCCTATATAATACTGAAATAATAAAGCAACAATGGTGTAATCGAAATCGAAAATTTCATTTTTAGACCACGCCCCTTTTGATCAGAAGGAGAAAAAACAACGAAAAAAGGTTAAAGATCGGTGGCTAGAATGACGACTTTGTTCGGTATGAATCCCTGCTTCTCATCGGCTATCCGGACCGCCCATAGCCAATCGTCGACTGGCTTGCCGGTGCAACGAATCCATTCACCCGGACGGACGGTCAGGTCGAGAGGTGATCGACCGGCGAATGGTTCGACCACGAGGAGATTTTCGTTTTCCCTGAAAAGGTAGGAAATTTAAAATTCTTGAAGTTCTGAAGCCCCGGGAAATTTGAAAAATTCGAGCCACAAAATTTTTGTTCAGCGGAGCGCATTTTAAATGCAAAAACAACCAATTCGGACAAATTCTAGTTTTGTACTCCTCGTGGACAAGTCGTTGGCGGGAAATTTGAAATTTTTGAAAGTTGGGTCATGATTATACTCATTTTGAAGCTCTCAGAGAGCTAATTCTGAATATCTGACGTTGCGAATAAAGAAAGTGCGCTCTATTAGAGATTTTGGATTTTGGACTCCTCGTGGACAAGTTTCAGCGAGAAATTTGAATTTTTTGGGGTTTCCACTGAAAAAATCATTTGAAATTTCGAATTTTTGGCGATTCCACAGCTTCCAGAACTTTCAGAACTGCTGAAAAATCAATAATTCCTCACCACTTCTCCTTTGGCACACGATTCTGAATTTCGCGATGCTCATCTGGAATTTTCAAATTTGCCACCGGCACAAATCCCGATTGGTTCTCAGAATTTCGAATATAAATCCATTCGGGATCTGAGAAATTCAGAATTGTGACAATTTCCCCTTCTTTGACGGTGATGTCATCTGGAGCGGACGCATCGAAGCTCGACAGAATTTGAGCTTCACAGATTTCGTCCTGGAACAAAAAATTTTGAATTTGGTTGCAATATTCGAATTCAGCTTCTCAAGAGCTTCAAAACAAGTATCACCATGGCCTATCTACGAATACTTTCAAATTTGCCGCCAACGACTTGTCCACGAGGAGTCCAAAACTCAAAATGTCTAAAAGAGCGCGCTTTTTTCGAAATTCAAATTTCCCACCATTTTGAAAACCTCCCCCTCTTCTTTTTGTACTGGCAAACTGTCGATGAAACGCTGCAAGTTCGACTTCTCCCATTTTCGATCCAATGTTGTTCCAGCAGTTCCAACTTTCTTCTGAAATTTGAAAAAAACGTTTCCAAAACCAAAAATTTAGAATCGGCTCATCGTGAGCTTCAAAATGAGTATAATCATGACCCAACTCCAAAAAGTTTCAAATTTCCCGCCACAGCTTGTCCACGAGGAGTACAAAACTCAAAATGTCTAATAGAGCGCCCTCACCTTGTCCACAACTTCTTTCTTCGAATTTCGCGCATTCAGCAACAATTTACAGTATGTCTGTGGAACGAATCCTTTCCTTCCATCCGAAACTTGCACATAAATCCATTGATCGTCTCGGTAGAGCGCTTTTACTGTCGTGCCACGTGTCACACTAATCTCATCGGCTACCTGGAATGGAGCGCGTTTTCTATTTTCATATTTAATAGCCTTAAAATAAACATAGTCATGGATAAGCTCCAAAATTTTTGATTGTCCACGAGGAGTACAAAAAAGAGCAACTTTTGAGCAATTTAAGGTTTTCTGAAAATCTCAAATTACTCATGACTCGCTTATTTCTCAAACTTTCAAAATCAAACCTTCATTATATTGCTCAGCTAGCCGAGAGCTTTCAAATGAGCCTAAACACGACTAGATTCGCTTAGCTTTGAGTTTAAATCTAACAAACCGCGACGCGACCGCAACGCGTAGGTCAAAACTCCAAATAGCGCTAGACTAGTCGTGTTTGGGCTTATTTCGAAGCTCTCAGCAAGCTGAGCAAGATTTAATAAGTTTTATGACGAAAATTTCAAGAAATGAGCAAGCTGTGAGCTATGTGCAAATATGAGAACCTACAGTAGCCGTGAAGTTTTTGGTGAGCTGTCCCGGTGTATATGGATCAAAGTGTTCCACTTGCATACTATCCACCCAGCCGCCATTTTCCGGAGCTAAAAATATGTTTTTGAACATTTTTAGAAATTCTACAGTAATCCTCAAAAAGAGATGTTACCTCTCCCAGCCAAAACTTTCCAGAAAATGCTTCGAATTCCCATTTTTTGGAAAAATTAGAAAATTTAGATATTGTTGGGACAAGAAAAATTTTCGGCTCTTTTGGCTCAATGTTTGGAAAGTGTCAGAAAATTTCCCCGATTTGTTTGTTTTCGATTCCCGTCGATTTCCCCAAAGATTCGAAGAGTCGAAAACACCGGAAACTGAAAAAAAAACCTATTTTCTGGGTTTAGTTACTCAGGTAAACGATTCTGAACTAGATCTGACTTTATTCGGAATTAGATCTGGGTTCGTTCGTAAATAGAAGTGGCATGATCTAATACAGAATTTAGCTTATCTAATTCCGAACGAACACCGAATGAACTACGAACGAATTAGATCTAATTCCGAACAGACCAGCGGGATTTCGGAGCATCGTAGCGCGCACTTTTCAATTTTTGTTTTCTTTTCAACGCCATTCACTTTATTTATAATAAAATTTATTAAAAAAGAAAACAGAACAAGTATGAGAAAAAGAAAAACATAGATTAAAATGTAGTTATAGGAAATCGGAACGAAAATGAGGGGTGTGATACAAATGAATGAATGGGATCAGCAAAAAAGAAAACGATGAGATCAGCGAGAATAATGGGAACATTGAGATAAGAAAAAAAAAGTGACGAAATTTATGAAAAAAACATCTCAATTCGAATTCATCCGCTCGTCCATATTTTCGATTTTGAAAATTCTCTTGTCATAGTTTTCGGTTGTAGATAAGATGGATATTCTTTATGAAATGAATGTTGATTTAACTGAAAAAAGAAGATTTTGGCTTTGTGATGTTGATAATAAACTTACTTGAGCCATTTCAATATAATTTCCGTACTCAAATCTTTGCAAATCCAAATAAATTCATATCAGAGCAGTTGTTTTATACAACAAATCCCAAATTTTTGAATCGTTTTAATCGGGTCATGACACATTCGGTTGAGAGCCTGCAATTTCACGCATGTTTCTTTGTCCACCAGACTTTCGAAAACTAACCTGCTCATGACAAGACACGGCTTCCGAAAGTAAGGCCTTCTCGACTTGTGTAAATTGAGCTCACTATCAGAGCAATTTATCATCTCTTTTTTCTTGTTTTTTTCGGTGATCCCTTGCATCGTTTTTACGTAATCCTTCAAGCTGAAAAAGGCAAAAATTATCTTACCTGCAGAGTTTTCTCCGAATTTAAAATCTTCAAAATCGTCGTATTTTTGTCGATTCATAGAATTACTGTCTTCTATAGAAGTCGTATATATAAATTGAACTTTGAATATTCAGCTGTTCCTAAAAAAATTCACCTAAAATTTTGCAAAAACGTGCACAACACATTAAAATATGTTCCAGAAAAATAGTTTAAATAATTGAGCGAAAAAAAAGGCAAAAGTTGAGAGAAATACCCATTTTCCTGACGAAAAAAATTTAGGACAACAAAAAAACAAAACGATTCATCCGCGGCAGCTGAGTCATTGATGGCGCATTTCTCGTGGCAACTTCGGTATTAGATCTAGTCCATATCTAATTCCGAATGAACTCAGATCTAATTCAGAATTTCGAGTTATTCGATCTAATTCCGAATGAAGTCAGATCTAATTCAGAATCGTTTACCTGAGTACAACGTAAGCGCGCTCTACTGAACGTTTTTAGTTTTGGACTCCTCGTGGACAAGTTATGGCGGGAAATTTGAAATTTTTGAAGTCCAGAGTCATGATTATACTCATTTTGAAGCTCACGATGAGCCGATTCCAAATTTGTAGGTTATGGAAATGTTTTTTCTCTTTTCTCTTCACTCCTCCTCCAGCTGAAGCTGCTTTGCGAGCAGCCTTGCTCGCCAGCTGCGCTCTTGGAGCCTTTCCTCCGGTCGACTTACGCGCGGTTTGCTTTGTACGAGCCATGTCGGTTGTTCCTGGAAAAATTACAAAAATAAAAAGACAAATTTCCCGAGAAGGTTCGAACCCGCGAACTCTAGATCGACAGGCAAAAGAGTTAGCCATTGAGCTAGTGCTCACACTAGAGAGAAGGGCGCGGAAGCCGTATAAGAAAGGGGAGGAAAGGAGAAGGCGCGCGGGGAAGTCGCTGGAGAATTTTGACGGATGAAAAAAGATGAAAAAAGTCAACTTTTGGGCTGAACATCCAAAAATACTCAGTTTTTTGGAATTTTTAAAATTTTTCTTTCAAAGAAAAAATATGAAAATTGAAAAAAAAACTGCATAAAAATGTAACGGTGCCAATTAGCTGAATAGGACTCAACAGTCAGAAAATAGACGTGACAAGTCGGAAGGTCACATAGAAAGTAGTTCATTGGGTCGCGGAATTAATTCTGAAAATTTGAAAAATTCAAAAATCCCAAAATTCCGAAATTCAAAAAACCAAAAACAATCCAAAAAAATCTGAAATCCCAAAAACTTCAAAAAACTCAAAAAATTCAAAAATTCAAAAACACAAAAATCCCAAAAATTCGAAAAAAATCCCAAAATTTTGAAAAATTCGAAAAATTCAAAAAAAATCAAAAAAATCTAAACTTTCAGATTCCATATTCATTCAGAAAATACGAAAAAAAATCAAATAGATCACTTCGAAAGTATTCACGTCTTCTTCTTCTTAAAATTCTCCACATCATTGAATTTCGGAAATCTGAAATTTTCAGAAAATTAGGCTCCGCCCCTTTTTTGTTCTAATTCAGATTCAAAAAGTGAGGCCCCGCCCTTTTTTTCCAAAGCTCCGCCCCCTTTTCACCTCTTCGTCCTGACTGGCCACCAATTTGTATCTTCGGCACATTGAAATCGAAGTGAACACAATGAGGATTACTGTAGTTCCAATCGAAAAACACCCATAAACAAACCAGAAACGATAGTAGGTCCCACCATCTGGCTTCGCCACCGTAATCTGGAATTTTTTGAAAAAAATGTTGCTGAAACTTTTTTTTTGAATTTTCAAATTTGGAAATTTTTGATTTTTTTCAAAAATTCGAATCCAAAATTAATAGTTCATCATTATCATTGGAAATAAATCAATAAACGATTGCACAGAAGAAAATTGGATCAAATCACAAAAGATCCAGGATTACTGTAGTTTTCGTGGTGGGACCCAACAAAAAAAAATTACATTGAATGCGTTTGTCGAATCGGTGATAATGAGAAGAAGAAGGGGAATGGTGATAAGAGAAGGAAGAGGAGATTTTTGCATTTTTTTGAAACTAAAATGACAAAAAAAAACGAGCGGGAAATTTGAATTTTTGGTATTCAGGTGGGAAAATCCGACGTGGAGAGAGATTTTTTGGTAAAAAATGGGCGGGAAATTTAAATTTGAGATTCTTCCAGGCCTTTTTTGTACTGAAATATAAACTGGTAAAAATAAATAGAATACAGATATTATGCATGGAAAACAAAAGGAGAGATCGCAGAAATTACAGTACTGTGGGGTGTCGACTGGAAGAGGAGGGGGGACTTTTGGGGAGATTTTAAGACGAAAAATTAGGTAGAAATTCGAGATTTTTAAAGAAAACTGGGGGAAACTTGAGATTTTGGGACGAATAAATGGGGTTTAAAAAAAGTTGAAAAAATCAATTAATTAAGTCTTCGCGCACTTCTTGGCGGCATTGTACGCATCGGTGTGGCTGATGCAGTACGTGATGATGGACGAGTCGCCGTCATTGGACGAGATGGTTCTGGAAAAAACAAAATTTTAATTGGCTTCAAATTATAAAAGCTAGGCTACAAGGACTACAAACTACAATGTGTACTGAAAAATGTTTTATTCTAGGTAATCTCCGCCCCCTTCAATGGATAGATTCAACCCCTTTGTCCTATCTAAACTCCGCCTCGTTTTCTTACTAAATATACCAATTTTTCGGCCTAGTCCCGCCATTTTTTTCTTTTTTCTAGTTAAGCTCCGCCCCCTTATCCCTTTTCCCTATGCTTTAAAAAATGTAAAAAATGTAAGCTCCGCAACTTTTTTCTTATTTACGCTTCTCCTCTTTTCCCAATCAAGCCCCGCCCCTTTTCTAGTGTCAAGAACTGTTTTAGAGCCACAATTTCGAAAATGTCCAGCTAAGCCCCGCCCCTTTCCACTCACTTTTGCCTGCTTTCACCGGTGGACTGGCCATTAGCTCTTCCGCATCTTTTCTGCTCTTCTTCTGTGCAGACGCTGGCGCTTTTCTTGGCGTCGGCGCCGCCCGTGTGCGTTTTGGTTTGACAGTTGATGGTCCCGGTTGATTATCGTCATCTGAATCCTCGTTGTCCTCCTCCTGAATCCCATCCAACGTTGCTGTCGCTTTGGCCGTACGTCGTGTTGGGCGGAGTTCTGATACTGTAGATGGCATCTCCTCGATATCACCATCGTCCATATTTAGGCCGAGGAGCTTGGCGATTTTTCGCTGAACACGACGAATTTCGTTACGATGCGAACGTTCCATGTCCTCGCCGTTGAGCTGCAAAGTTGGAAAAGTCTGTTGGTTTTTATGTCCGAGAATCGAGGATACAGTAATCCTGTTTGCGTAATTTTTGGTCAAAAATTAGAGAATTTGACTTGATCAAGTTAAGCAAAAGCCCGGTAATTTGGAGCCCATTTATCTCATTTCCTGTAAAAGATATCAAAAATTGGTCAACTGATAAAATGTCTCTAATATTCTCAGCAACATTTTATCAGTTGACAAATTTTTGATATCTTTCACAGGAATCAAGATAATTGAGCTCAACGTTCGAATTTCCTGATTCTTGAAAACTCACCTCCATTGAGCACTGAAGATCCGTATGATATTTGGTGAGCACCTGTCGACTGAAGCTCTCGAATTCAATGTGTGGCAGGGCGGCGAGATAGAAATCGACGAGATTCGTCGCACTGCGTCCATGGATTTCGTCCAAAATGTCGTCGAATAGCTCGATGTGCGACGGTTGGAACTGCAAATATCGATTTTTATCATCAAACTCCGCCCCCTTTTAGTCTTTTGGCTCCGCCCAATTTTCCGAAAACTCAGGAATTCGAAATCCTACAAATTTCGAAGTACAAAAATCCATTGATCTCTAAAGGACTTTTAGAGATTTTCATATTTTTCAAAGGCTCCGTCCACTTTTTCAAAAATTTAAATTCTTGCATTTCAGCTCCGCCCCTTTGACTCTGCCCACTTTTCCACATACATTTTTCTGCATGTCAGCCGGAAGCACCGTATGACGTGTCAGAGCTGCAAACGCGTGAGCACATCGCTTCAGCTTCGGGAATAGCTCGTTGCGATTTTCAGTGAGAAGACCAACGTCGGCGGTGTTGGTCCAGAGGGAGAAGAATCGACGGAACGATCGGACGACGACGAGTTGGTTGCGTCTGAAATCAGAAATTTCGAATTATAGGATTTTAAGGACATGGTGGCCTAACTTTTGCAAGTTTAGTTTTCTAGGACACCATGGGAAATGGTATAGAAATAGTCTAAAATGCACCTGGTGTTTTCTAGGTCATTTTCTATGATGGCCTAGGAAACTCAACTTGCATACGTTAGGCCACCTTGTTAAAATGACTCAGAAAGCACATAAAATGAAAGTCAAGCCATTTCTAGGCCATTTTAACAGTGGACTAACTTTCAAAAATTGAGTTTTCTAGGCCGCTATGGTAAATGACCTAGAAAACATACCAAGGGAATATCAGGCCATTTTTGAGAATGGCTGCCTAGAAAACTCAACTTGCAAAAGTTAGGCCACCATGATAAATAGTCTAGAAAACACATCAGGCGAATATCATGCTATTTTTAGGTCGTTTAACACGGTGGCCTAACTTTTGCAAGTTGTTTTTTCTAGGCCATCATAGTAAAATAGCCTAGAAAACGCATCAGGTGAATATCAGGACATTTCTAAGTCATGGTGGCCTAGAAAACTCAAAGTTAGGCCACCATTTTCCACTAGAAATCAGTTGAAAATAGCTCAAAAACTCACTGATTCATGGAGCAGAAGAATTGGAGTGTAACGAGGATCGTGGATCGAAGTCTAGCACTATAGTGATCCGTAATTTTGAACGAAGCTCTGTACATCAACGTAACAATACATCTCTGCCAAGCGGGACAAGTCGGATCGATTTTCGAATTCAAAAGTGTTCGACACAGTGCTTCAACAGTTCGAACCAAAATTTCCGATCCGGATTTATGTTGATCCGAACAGATGATATCAGCGAAGAACGTCGGTGTGTTCTCCGCGTTCTTCCAGTGCTCCAACGGCGGCTCGTACAGTTTATCCGTGTATTTATCGGGATTCTCAACGAACATATCGGCCAGTGCGAGGACCACCGATGCTTGAACCATGTGCTCTTCTGGGGTCACCGGATCGTGGCGAGCCAGTTTTTGGAAGTGGAAGTCAGCCATTTCACGGAAATCGTCGGCGACAAGGTCGAAATCGTAGCAGCCAATGATTCCGAGACACTCGATTGCGCAGATTTTGGTGGAGTCGTCTTTGGCTTTGGTTTGGGCGCGGAGCTGAAAAAAAAGGCATGAAAAATGGTCATTTTGATAATTTTCAGTCGAATTTCAGCTACAAACCTTCTCCCGATACCGATCATCATATTCTGGAATCCATTCTTTCAGCAGTGCCAACTTCAGACAGCAATTGAGCACTTTTATCTCGTATTGATCGATGTGACGGTTGACGAGCTGCAAATATGAAATTTCTAAACTTCCAACAGCTTCTGGAGCCTTCTAGAATCTTCCGCGACCTTTCAGAAGCATTTAGAGACTTCTAAAATGCTCCAGAATCGTCTAGAATCTTTCATAGTGCTCCAGAATCTTCCAAAAGCTTCTAGAGCCTGTTATAATGTTCCAGAATGATCCATTATATTCCAGAAATCTCCGACAACTTCTATAACCTTCAAAAAACTTCCAGAAACTTCCAAGGGATTCTAGAATTCTCTCGAATCTTCTAGAGCCTTCCAGATCGTTCTAGAATGTTCCAAAAACCAACTAGAATGTTTCAGAATCGTCTAGAATCTTTCAGAGTATTTCAGAGTCTTCCGACAGCTTCTAGAATTATCCAGAAACTTCGGGAATCTCCAAAAACCTTCCAGCGTCTTCCACAAGCTACTACTAGAGCGTTCTAGTATCTTCTAGAATCTTCCAGAATCATTCGAAATGTTCCCGAGTCTTCCAGAATCTTCTAAACACCTTCCAGAACCTTTCAAAAGCTTCTGGAGTCTTCTGCCTTCCAGGGCCTTCCAGAACCATCTAGAATCTTCCAGAATCTCCCTCCACACTCACATCCTTCTCCTTCTTCTTCGGCGTCCCCCCGGCGGCAATCTCATTTCTCCAATCCCTCCTAAACTTCTGCTCTCCAATCAAAACCGTTCCCTCGAGCACCGGAAAATGATAACCATCGTATTTGTCTCTCATCTCACTGGTCCGCGCGCAAATCAGTGAAAACAACTCATGCGGATCGTCTTTATAGAATTGCCCCAGCTCCTGGACGATGATATCCATCACCTTCTTCTGATAAAACGGATTCATCAACATTGAGATGAGCAACTGCTTGTAGGCGTCGAGACCAGACTGATCCTGTTGACAGTACTTCAACACCGGGAGGTAATTCTCCATAATCGACATTTGCACTACATAGACGTCGTCTTCAAATCCTTCATGATATCCTCCGCCAGACGGTGGGACCTCCTCCTCTTTGACTCGATTCAAAAACGTCTCCAAACTCTCGCACATGGTACCCAACGGGTGGGTGAAACGACTCATCGCGTGGAATTTGTCTCCTTCGTTTCTGGCTCGATCGGACATGTACTCGACGAGACAGCGCCAGAACATCACCATCGCGCGGGTCGTGTTGGTGTCTTGGCTGAAAAAAGCAGTTCAGTTTGGCTAAAAAAGGATTTTTAAAAACTCACTTATCAGCGTTCAACGGATTATCAACCAACAACGTATCAATCGTCGATTTCGTCACCAACGGAACCGGACAATTCGGTTGGGTCTCCTTCAGATCCACAACGATTTGCTCAGCAAACGTGCTAATTGGCTCCGCATGACACAGGTACATATGACGAATAACATCCAACAAATGGGTCATCATTCTGCGAAGATTTAGGTGACTCTCCATACTATCCACCATATGAACAAGCCATAGAAGGCAGAGTCCCTGTCCAGCAAGAATATATCCTTTTCCTGTTGGCGGTGGGATGGCTTCCTCATCGTCTGGACCGCGCATCGGGACCACATCTTGTTGTTTGGCCTTGTTGACGTATCGGCGGGCAAGACGAGCCACCCACTCACGGAGCACCATCTTTGCGGCATCTCGAACGGCCGCTGGAAATGGGAATGTTGTTTTTTGGGGTCACTGGGACCGTCTCCGGCCGTCTCAGAGCGTCTAGGGCCATCTAGGGGCGTCTAGAGCTGTCAAAGCCGTCAGCAAAGACATTAGAGATGACTAGAGACATTTAGGGTCGTCACTAGAGCATATAAGGGTCATTAGGATCGTCTAGGGCCTTCTAAGGCAGTCAGTAGGGTTGTCTAGGCTATTAGGGTCCATAAGGCTGTTAGAATGATCGTGAATGATGACTAGGGTCATCTGAAGTCGTCTAAGGAGTCACCAGGGCAGTTGGAGGTCACTAGAGTACTTTAGGGTCGTTAGAAGGGCCTTTAGGTGTCACTAGGTCCATCTAGGGCCATCTAGGCTGTCATTAGGGACGTTAGATGTTACTAGGACTGTTAAAAAAGCCGTTAGGGGTCTCGAGGGCCGTCAGGTGTGACTAGATCCATACTAGATCCATCTAGGGCAGTCTAGGGTCGTCTAGGGGACAGTAGGAACGGCTTAGTCGTCTAAGGCCATCTAGGGCCGTCAAGGTGATCACTAGGACTGTCTAGGGCTATCTAGCTGTTGGAAGGGTCGTTAGAGGCCATCAGGACTGTCACCAGGGCCATCTAGATCACTAGAAGGGGATTACGGTATCTCTCTTTCTCTAAATATCTTACGTTCATGATCCTTGAAACACATGTCGACGAGCACGACCTTCTCCCTACAATCCCGATGTGGTCTCATTTTGCCCAACTGCTCGAGTGCAGCTACTCGGACGATTGTCGATTTGTCGTAGTAGGCGATGTCGGAGACAAGCTGAAGGTCTTCGTCACGTGGCATGAAGGATTGTATAGCGACCAGGCGGCACTCCCAAGACATGTCACGGCAAGAGCGGGTCAGCACTGAAAAGTTTGAAATAAAAATGCCCAAAAATGGTTCAAAATCCATGAAAAATAGACCAAAGATAATGGAAAATGACCCAAAATGCATGAAAAAATGGTCTAAAATCTATGAAAAGTCCAAAAATCATGAAAAATGGTTCAAAATCCACAAAAAAAACTCACACTCCCTGGCACTGGACTCCCGTCCCTCAACTGGCCATGCCGATGGAATGGCACAATTCTGGATCACTCCCATTCCTTTGATCGCTGGGATTCTGGCGCTCGCCTCCTTATCCAACAACGCCCTCTTCAGGACCGCAAACAGACGATAGGCTCCTTCGAGTGGGAATCCCGAGAAGTTCTCGCCCGTCAGTTGGCGATTGTGCGTTTTTCCAGTCTCGAATATGTAGCTGACGCAGCACGAGGCGTTGATTCGTGACGCGACACTCTCGCTTTCGGACCACTGAAAAATGGAGAATGTGGAATCTAATAGAAGCCCCACTTAATCGTCAACTTTGAGCTCAATTATCTCAATTCATGTGAGAGATGTCAAAAATTTGTCAACTGATAGAATATTGCTGATATCATGGTAAACATTTTATCAGTTGACAAAATTTTGATATCTCTCAAAGGAATCGAGATAATTGAGCTCAAAGTTAACTAACTGGGTGAATTTTAAGGCATCCAAAGTTGACGATTTTCCACTAGAAATCGGTGAATTTTAAAGCCAATTTTGATCAAGTTTTAGTCAAAAAAATAGGTTCAAAAATAACAAAACTGGCTCAAAATCCAACAAAAAATGACACAAAAAATCAGTTATTCGATTGGAAAGTCTAATTTTCGTTCAATTTTCGAAGCATTTTCCTTTTGCGATTTCTGACGAATTTTTAGTCAATAACAAAACACAAACATGTCAAAAAATAGCTTATTTTCAGGCATATTTGGATTCAATTCTTGGCTAGAAATTGATGAAAAATAGCTTCAAAAATCACAAAAATCTTGTCACTCACACTCTCCACCAATCCCAATACAAAGTGGAAGAACTCTTGATTGTAGCCCAGAACCAGCAGCTCAATCGCCACCATCGCAACCATTTTGTAGACTCTCGCACGGTTTTCGGCTACAGTAACCTCCTCGAACATCATCACTAGACGAGCGTCGAGCTCCATGAAGAACTCCTTGACCAGATTCCATTTCTTGTGACGCGTGTTGTTGGCCTGTAAGAGAGAAAGGTGTGCATTTTGGGGATAATTTTCTCGATTTTTGGCAATTTTCATCGAAAAAATCTATAAGAATCGATAAAAATAAGCTAAAATTGACTGTTTCCGGTCATTGTGGACCAAATTTCATGGAATTTTTGCCAGACTTCTCGAATGCTTTCGAATTCTTACCCTTTTAAAAGCGACAATCATCTTTTGAGATGCGATAATCAGCTCTTCCCCGATATTGTCTCGAGCCTGAAACGCCTGACGAACCGAATCGATGACTCCTTTTCTGAAATTTTGAAAAAAATTATTCAAATTTCAGTGATTTTCTGGCTTCACATAGCGATTTTCGGAGCTAAAAATCCCGAAATTTTTTAATTTCCTAATGAAATTGACAAAAAAAAATGCCATTTTTGAGGAAATTTCGACTAGAAAACGACTGAAATATGCCCAGAAACATGATTTTCTTGTCAAAAATGGACAATTTTGTCGAAAAAACAGGACTTTTTGAAGCCATTTTCAGCAAATTTTCGGTCAAAAATTGAAATTTTTAGAAATTTCTGACAGAAAAAGTATTGTTTGTTGGAAAATCACTATTTTTGTTGAAAAAATGTGATTTTGAAGTTGAAAAAGAGACAATTTTACAGGCAGTTTCAATGAATTTTTGGCAGGAAAAAAATAAAAATAAAACGATTTCGAAGCTGAAAATAAAGAATTTCAGAGCCATTTCAATTTCCAGTAGAAAATTACAAGTTTTAGCAATAATTGACCGAAGAAACCATGATTTCCTAATAAAAGCATCATTTTTAGGTACTTTTTGAGCAGATAAATGCGCTTTTGAGCTTGAAAAAGGCCAATTTCCTGACTCACTTAACCAATCTGCCAGTCTGAACCAACATCTTCTGATCTCCAGTCATATCTGGCGTAACTTTAGTGTATCTCATTCGAATTTCCAATCCCTGAATGGTTCGATCATCATAAACATTCGTATCATGCTCCTGTTCAATAAGTTGGACATCCTCGCCGTCTGATGTCTCCTCTTCATCGTTATCAAAGTCGTCATCCATATAGTCTGGCATATTTCGATGTCTCTGATTATCTCGATCGTCGTCTCGATCTGGCGATTCCATTGGATCCACCTCATCGATTGGGTCTTCTTGACGATCTGGGGATTCTGGAAGTGCTGGAAGCGGGGGACCACGGACTCGCCTCTTTGGTGGCATCGCTTGAAATTTTCAGTTTGTCAGATGGATCTGGGACTTTGGAGCAAATTGGGAAAAAACTTGGAAAGTCAGGGAAATCGAATAAACGAGTGGGCGGAGCCTATTTTAAGCAAAAAAAAAGGAAATTTAGAGATTTTTCAGGCCGGAAAGTGCTGAAAATTTTTGAAATTACAACCTGGCAAATCGGGAAAGATGAAAAGAATATCGAGTGGAAAGGGGGCGGAGCCTATTTGAGGCGAAATTCCAATTTTTATTGTTTTTTAGGCTGAAAATAAGGCAATTTTCGACATGTTTCAGCACTTTTTTTTAGCGAAAATTCTTTTATTTTTAAAATTTTACAGCTCGAAAAAAAAACAACGAAAAAAGACTGGAAAATCGTTAAAAAATGCGGAATTTTTCAGATTTTCAGCAATTTTTAGACCAAAAACCTGCAATTCTTATAATTTAGTGGTTTTTCCACAATTTTTCACAACAAAATTTCTAATTTTTCGATACTTTTAAAGGCAAACACAAAAAAGAACGGAAAAAAGGAGACAAAAACAAGTTTCCCTAAAAAATGATCGATAAAGATAAGCAATAAGAGCAATTATATGAACTTATCCGGATTAAACTCCATGCAAACCAATGGAGCCAATCGCTAGCATGCGAAAATTTTGAATTAGCCGTGGAGCGCGTTTACCTTCGCGCCGGGCAGAAGAATCGATTGTCGGGGAGAGAGTCGGGGAATGAAGAAAAATCTCAAGAATTTAACAAAGTTTGCAAATTTATAAACAACAAAAATAGAATTTTATTAAAACAAAAAAAAGAGATGAAACATGATTAGGATGATACATGCACTGGGTGTGATTTTTTGAGAACCCGACAAAAAAAAATTAAAAAGAAAAATAATTTTTAAATACTAGAAAATGAAAACTAACTAGAAAATTCTACAGTAGACTAAATTTAACAAGACTTTCTGGCTTAGAAAAAAGACAAACTAAAAATCGACGAAAAATGTCGTAAAAACACATTATACAGACAAAAATGACAGAATTAATGGGGTCCAATTAAAAATCGCCATCGTCCATCTCCTCCTCCATTGCCAACACCGCCAAATCTTCGAAGTCTTCTGCCGAGAGCTGCACGTCGATTTGTCCAAATGGCGACACCTGAGTGACTTCGATGCGCCGGTTTTTGATGAGTTCTAGAAGAAGAATTTTCAGAAGAAGTCTCAGATTTTCAAAATTAAACTAACCAAGAACCACATAGAACGTCCTCGCAGCTTCTCGTCGAGATGTTGTTTCGATTGGAGTCATGCTGTCCAACTGGATCGGGTACGGGCTCTCCTCCTCACACTGTCTAAAATTTTCAGCGTTTTGCAGTGGAAAATGAAGCATTTCAGCCAAAACTCACCTCAAAAGCTCCTCGCGAATGGTGGCAGCCGACTTATCACCAGCTGATGGTGGTTCGAAAGTTTTGGAAGTCGGGAAAGGGTCTTCATCGAGCATGGCGTCGTCGTAGATCTTAGTGATATTGGATCCATTATCCTCTCTTCTAGGGAATTCAATCTCCTCTGGAACTTCTCCTGGCTCACGATGAACGTCTTCTGGTCTTGGAAAATCGAACTCTGGAGGGACGTCGTTATGGTCTCTTGGACGTTCCAAATCCTCCATATCGATACCATCGACGACTGGGCGGAGTGGAGATATTCTGAAAGAGGGAAAACAGTTGAATTTTGTTCTCCCGATACCCTAAAAATCAATTTGCTGGACAGTTGATTTTTGAGTCAAAAATTGGTTTTTTTAGGCTAAAATGCTTACACTGGCGACGTCTCCTTCAACGGCATCATGGAGACCTTCAGGTTCGACAAATCGATAGGCTCCAAATTTTTGTATTGTTTTGGACGACGAAAACCACTAGACGATTCGATTTCGTCTTCATCTTCAGACACAGTGTTGCCGGATATGCTTGAATTCGGCTTCTTATAACCCACATCCAACACGTCCCATGTATCCGCGTTGCGTCCTGAAAGCAGAAATTCTAGATGATCAGGGTCAAAAACTATTTTTTTTAGTTCGAAAATGACCAATTTTAGGTCGAAAAAAACCATTTTCAGGTCAAAAATATCGATTTTAGACAAAAATGAACGATTTTCAAGTCAAAAATCCAGAAAAAAAACTACTCACGATCTTTTATGAAGTAGGGAACAGATCTGAACAGCTCTTTGACTGCGCTCTTGGCTGCTGGCTTCACTCTGAGCATCTTGCCATCCTCGTAGTGGAGACTAGAGAAGTCCTCCATCATTCGATTCATCTCTCGCTGGAAATTCGAAATTTATAGGGTCTTCAGACAGTCAAAACCCTACCAATGGAATTCTGAACCGATTGTTATCGGCCTGCGTCGGGTCCACTTCTCCATTGTACACATCGAACTTGGCTTTCCGTGTGCTCTGCGGTGTTCTGAAGGGTGTTCGCTGGGGTGGTCTCGAAGGAAATGGAATATCGTCCAGGGAGATTTGCGATGGCAGTCGTGGGACATCGACCAGGGCAGAAGGAACGTCCAGGTTGTCGTTGTTCTGAAAAGATTATGTTGGTTTCGGGTCAAAAATGATCTTTAGACCGCTTCTCTTCGAAATTTGACCTAATTTTCGACAACTTTAGGACCAATTACTTACAATTCCGTGATTCCTGGCGTCTTCCATCTCATCCTCCATACTCCTACGTTCATCGACGAGTGGCAATCGTCCATAAAGAAGCACTTCGGCGAGATGAGGTCCCGGCTCGAATGTTCGTTCTCCCGATCGTCTCTTTTTCACTGGCGTCTGATGCGACTGCTGGATCATCTCGTCGCTTAGACGCTGGAACTCGAAATCGTCGTCGATGGGCGGTGCGAATGATTGTCGTGGCGGTGGTGGTGGAGCGTCGAAATCGAAGTCTTGGATCAGTTCCTCACGGTTTTTCGCGGCTGATGAGGATTGTTGATCGATAAATGTTCTGAAAATGATGATTTTGGGCTCAAAAACGAATTTTTCGGCAGAAAAACTGACTTATCAACTTGTGTGGCTTCTGATCCAAGGAATCCATAGAGCAGAGCAAGATCATCGACTGTGGCCGGTGCCAAATCATCGTCAATCTCGATGTTTTGGATTTGAGGCGTTCCCAAGACGTCGCGCATTGTGATGTCCTTCTTCAAGGCGACACTCTGAAAATTTCGATTTTAAAAAGTCCAGACAAGTTTTTTTGGTACTGACCACTGGACTTTTCATAGCGAATTCGTCCTCATCTGCTCCATTCGACCTTTTCTTCTTCTTCGGTGTCTTTGAGTTGTCAATGAGCCCGTTCTCCATCTGTTCGCGAGTTCTACGTCTTCTCTCCTCCTCCTCTGCGAGATAGGAAGAATAGGACAGGAGTTCTTTGGCTCGAATCGCATCACCTGGAAGAAAAACCCGTTTAAAAGTCAAAATTCCGGCAAAAATCCTGCTTACGCAAAAGTCTGGCGACCTGTGTACTCAACACAATCGTGTTGCCATAGACGAGATGGCAAGCATCGGTGAAACCGCTCTTTCTTCGACCCCTATCAAGATAGAGGCGAATAATGTGACTGGCTGCTGCCACATCGTGTCGCTGACAACTTCTGCGGCTTGTGTAGGTGCTCAGATTTCTTTGCGGTCCGAAGACTACGCCTCTGAAAAAATTTTCTTCGGAAAACGGGTTTTTTTTTCAAAAAATCCTACAATAAAAACTCTAGTACGGCTCGCTCCGGCGGTCTTAGCGGTATATCGAGGGCAAGTACCATGATATTCTGAAACTTTTTGAATTTTTTAATCAAAAAAGTAGAAAAAAAGCTGAAAAAACGTTGAAAAATCGCTGAAAACGGGTGAACACTCATTTTAAATTCAGACCAACTTCGAAAAGGAAATATTTTCAAAGGCGCAAGCTCTCCGTGACGAGACCTTCTAAATACCGTAATCCTGCTTAAAGGCGCATGCTTAAAATTGAACTTTCGTGGCGAAACCCGCAGAAAGGTCTAGATGGTTTTCGAATTTTTGAGCGGGAGTTTTTGAATTTTCTTTCATTTTTCACAGGACTCTAGTCGGTCCGTCTGGTCATTTTACTTCTTTTATTTGTACAGGTCCCATTTCTTGCCAAATTATCTATCTATTTCCCCCATGCATTGCAAGTAAATATATTATTATTATTCCTCATTTCACGGTCTCCCACAGAACATTTCCGAACTGCAAATTAAATTTTGATCTACAGAAAAAAATATTGGCGCGATTACAATTGCAGGTCTAAAACCATAATTTCAGATTTTTTTATCTGATTTTGCGGAGATTGAAGATGATTCAAATGATTCTTAAAAAACTAATTAGTGGTTATAGAATCCTGTATGGTCCTTTTCCGGAAGAAAACATTTCAAAAATGGTCATTTTCGAAAGTTATTTACAGTAAAAATGTATCTCCTCTTTCAGTTTTTGACATTTCTAGGAGTTCTATAGCTCAAAAGAACCGCAATGATTTACTCTTCATTTTGTATTGATGAATTTTTGATTTGTCTGATAAAACTTTTTTTTATAATCAAAAAACCTCACGAAATTGCACAAAATCACATTTTTTCGTTGTTTTTTAATCATAAAAAAAATTATATCAGACGAATCAAAAATTCATCCATACAAAATGAAGAGTAAATAATTGCGGTTCTTTTGAACTATAGA